CTGGGGGCTGCCCTGTGCCAGGGGCAGAGGAAGCCGCAAGTTCACGCCCTGGGAAGCCACATCCCGAAGCCAGCAGCGACCCAGTGCTGCTTGCATTGCTGCATTACTAGAGACACTTCGTCGTGCTAGAAAAAATACTAGTTGTTATTTGCCGCCTTCATCCAGAGACCCTGTGGCCCATCTTTATCCCTGTGACACAAACTTCTATTCCTGTCATACCCGAGAGGAAACTGCAGCAGAGAGGGATTAAAACCAAGACTCGGGAAAGCCAGCAGCCTCCAGCTAGTGCCTGACACGATGTTGGGCATCTCAGAGGTGTTAGCCACTGCAGCGCCTATCAGGGACCAGTTTGGAAATGCTGGATTAGGAGAGAAACAAAGGTGTTCTCCTTATTCCCAGACCCAGCAGAGCCCAGCACAGAGCGGCCCTGGCTCTGTGAGAAGCTCTGTTGGTGCAGGCAATGGAAGAATGCCAGCTGACAGCAGCTGAGGATCTGGTTCCTCTTCTGTTCTGTTCTATTTGTGCATGGACTATGCTGAAACCTGCCAGCGATAGGTAGGAGCTTGTCCCTGGCCCTAGGGCAGCTAACAGAGACTTTGAGTGTGCTCAGCCTGCAGATCAAATTTCCAGTACCAGGAATACAACTGGGAAAGGAAGGTGGTGGGAAAGATCATCCACCCCCAGCTTTACCATTGTAAGCCCAGGGACCTGGACAGTACTTGCAGTCAGCCTCCCCATCTGGCCCTCTGCAACCTGGACCAGAAGGCACTTAGGAACAGAAATACCCTCATCTGGACTTAGAACTGGTTGTCTAAGCCATGTCAGAAACCTTTCATACAGGAGCTAGGTCTCTGGGCTTGGGAATCCTTCAGCATGGACAGGACCCTGAGAGCATGAACAAGAGCCCCCGTTCCCACTCGACCAGATTTCAGCTGGCTAATTTTAACCTAGCTTATTCAGAGGAGCAATGCACAGCAGCACAGTGTGTGGGCCATACAAAAGGGGTCTTACCTAAAGGCTTGGTATCAGCTTCAACATCTGAGTTCCAGTGGTTTTCCAAAACTGACCCTGCATTGAGGTGAAGGCCTAACCCATTTTGTTTCCAAAATTCAGGAGCTGTTTGAGATCTAGAGCTGTACTTTGCAAAGCCCTTGGGCCTGCTTCACTCTTTTCACTTGGGCTCTTTTTCCACTTCTTGTTTCCTTGGTGGTAGCTTTTTTAAAATGTGAATTATCATCATGGAGGGTTTCCCTGAATAGCACAAATCAATGGTTCTCTCTGAGCAGCTATTCAGTCTGCCCAATACCTGCTCAGCAATTCCTTCCCTTTCCCTAGTGGGCTGTAGCTGCTGCTGCTGTTTCGGCACTCAGATTTCAAATTTGCCATCTTTGTGCCAAAGTGTCCACTACACCTGAGCTCCACTGTGGTCAGTAATGGCTGGGGAAATCCAGGTGCCACATGGTTTAAAATAGGCATGCATGGTTTGGTGGTCAGTGAAGGACACGGTCCCTTTCAGCTGCAATGAACTTGTGTCTCAGCATGATGTTAGGTAGCACCAGACCAGAACTGCTATCTTCACATTTCTCTAGAAACTCATGGGAGTTTGACAGCTCCCACAGTCTCCCAGGCACTTCAAAATCCCCCAGCAACTCCTGCTTCACAGAGTTGTTCACAGGGAGCTGTGAGACAGATCCTGTGTATGTGGCGAGAGATTTACCTGCTCAGGGAGATGCAGGACAAGTGCTGTGCAAGTCGAGCTGGCTACTCTGGCTGTGGACTGACCACAGGGGCGGTCTGGTGCTGTTTGCCTGGTGTCATTTCTCTGCTTCAGTTGTTAGTGAGAGATGTTAATCACACTGCTTAGTACAGTAATGGACAGCAGTAGGGCGTCACAGTAATGGGAACTGCACAATAACCTTGCCTAGAATAGAACAGAGTGGAGCAGAACAATAGCTCATTTCTCTTTGCAGGCACATCTTTTTCTGTTCAGAGCTCATTAACCCCTATGTCCCAGCTGCATTCCAGTCCAGAGATGTAATGTCTGCTAAACTGCAGAGAAATTATCAGAGGACTGCTACAGTAGTTCCTGGGGTCAGCACTGCTCTGGTCCAGAGGTAGCTGCATTTTCACGGTAGCAATTGCTGAACTAATGTTATATACAGTGGTTTTATAGACAAAGTTGTACAAATGCTTCCCATAGGATCATCCCATGGTGTTTTGCAACTCCTGATCATTTGCACAATAGAGGCATGAAGCAATTAAAGTCTTTCATGTTTTCAGCATAAATAGATCTATCAAATTTCACAACTCCAATCCAAAATTGGACTAATTTTAAAATTAATATTAGCAGTGCATGACTAAGCTTGAGTGGGTGCTTTCATGGGGGACTTGAGAAATACTGACTTTTAGTAGCAGATGGGGGACCGGTGCAACCCACTGCTTTAAGGAAGCTGCCTTTCCAGAGTGCATGGGAGGAGGGACAGTGGGGTGATGGATAGTGCAGTGACTTACCAGTCACCAGTGACTACTACAACAGGGAAGTCCGACTTCGGATTCAATAAAAAGCATTCTGAGATATGGATGCCTCACAGCTGAGTGCCATTTTATTGGATGTGTTCCCACTGATAAACTTAAGGGGATCCATGTAACTTTCCGAAAATGAAAAGCAAGAGACAGAAGCAGGAAAGTGCTGTATCTCCCAGGGCGGATAGAGGCCACCTGTCTCAGCCTGGAGCAGACCAAAGACAGGGGTTCTGAGGTTGTCCCCACGTAGATCTGCCAAGTCCCTGCAAGGAAGCAGAGCTGAAGCAGTGAGGGGAGAGCATATCACTGACTTCAGGTGAATCGGGCATGACTCCAGGGGCTGTCAGTACCCTTGAAAAATCTTTTTCTTATTTTGAGTGGGCATCTGTGAGCTGCTCTCAAAAATTGTACTAGTGAATTGAGAAGCTTTGGAAAAGGTTGTGCCTGTCTCAAAGAGCTTTGCACTGTTCATTTGTTCTCATTCCTTCCTAGGCAGAAACCAGTGTGGTTCCTATGAAGAAAAACCATCAGCGATGATGCTACAGAATAGGTCTTACATGAGGGTCCTTGATATGAAGGGCAGATCTCTGCTTCTGTAGCTGATGGGTGACGGCAACAGCTTGGTAAAAGGAGCTACCAAGAGCTGGCAGGATGAGTTACAGCTCACCCTCTGTGCATGACTTGTATCACAGCACCACCACCACGGCCAAGCCAGACCCCGGGACAACTCTGGATGGGACTGTACCAGAAACAGCTACCATAAACCCTGAGACTACCAGTTTCAACAGCACCAAAATCCCAGATGTGGCCAGCACTGGACCCGGCATGAGCACAATGCTGCTGTCCTTTGGGATCATTACTGTGATTGGGTTAGCTGTAGCTATGGTAAGAGAGCCCTGCTAAATATTTGTTGGTGGAGGATGGCAAAGGGGTTCTAGGACTGATTTGGGTTGAATAATTTATTTGCGTTCTACTAAAGGCTCACCCGGAACTGCTGGGAACTGATAGTTCCTGATATCCCTTTCATTTTAAGGCCTTTATCCAGTGCTCCAACATTTCTGCAGTCTCCCTGAGGTCTAGTGCAAACGGGATGCTCAGCAGGCCTAGAGGAAACCATATGTAGTATCAGTATTTAATAGCAATAGGAAGTTCAGTTGAAAGAATACAAAGCAGATTCTGTTCTGACTTGTTAACTGGAACAACTGCACTGATTTAAACCTTGTCAACATGGGGTCCCCCTACAAGAAAGTTCATCCAAATTACTTTTAAAGCAGGCTGTTGAAACCATGTTAATCTCCCCTGTGGACATCCCTTTTTGAATTAAAGTGGCCTGAATCCATTTTAGCTAGACTCGTTCTGGGCTGCATTTCCAAGGTTCTACTTGCTGGGTATCAGCAAAGTCCTTGAGGATTTGCTGTGTAACTAACTTTGCCATTAATGCTGTAGGCAGAAGCTTTCAGAAACTGTAGTTCTGGGCCTGACATGGGCAATGCAAGTGCTGCAGTTCTTCTTTTGATACATAACCAGATCGTTTACCTGCCAACAGAGAACAGAAGGTAGCAGCAAGCTCCCATTCCTCGTATGAGGAAGAGCTTCACTAATACAACCATCAGAGGAGCCTACAGAAAGGGACTACTGCAAAATTTCATTGCAGGCCCAAGGAGGAGTTTTTCCAAAAGTCCCTAAGAGAACCTGGAAACATTATCCTGGAAACAGTCATAAGTTCCCAAGAGCAACATCCAGCGTTCGTAGTTCTCAGAACAAGGCTCTGGAGGCCAGAAGCCTCACTTTCTTCCCAGCACAGCCACTCTTACTGGCTGACAGAGGCAAGTCACTGAGCATGCCCTCTTTGCTTCTTCCCTTTGTACTGGGGAGGGGGTAACAGCACTTCTACGCTGTAGGAAATCTACAGATGAAAACCACAAAGGGAAGGTTCTTCATCCACTCTTAAATTGCAACATACGTTCTGCAGCCACCAGAAATGTGCTGAGCTACACCTAATAATAATACACCTAATACTCTTACTACCACTAACGCACCTAATAACGGGCCACTCGAGCACTTAGTGTCAGCCATGATGTGCTACCAAGCTTACACTGATGCATATGAAATTTCACTTTTGGTTGTCACTTCTCCCTTCCCCCTGCTTTAGTGCGCAGTGACACCAGACTTGCTGCACCTCCTTTCTGTGTGCCCCGTGCCCAAAATTTCTTCTCAGCTTTTCCCCATCCTACTAGGACTGTTGTAATGATGATTTTCTTTCTCCTTCAGGTTCTGTATATCAGGAAGAGGAAGAGGTAAGTAACAGCTGTTGTTGGCTGAAGGGAACTCAGTGCTTCAAAATCCGGAGAGAGCTAGGAAGGAGACAGGGAGAGTGTAAGGGATGGCTGTTTGAGAACAAGCCTACGGGGAATCAGCTGTGTGTGAATGAGGCAGGGGTAGGGACACAGCACTCCTGGTATTAGCCCACCTTCTAACACCAGAGCTTCAAAGACTCCTCCGCAGCTTTGGAAAGGAAAACATGGTTGAGCAGGAAGAGGTTAGGGATCCTGCAAACTCTTCATGCTTCATCTGTGAGATGCAGTATAACAGAGGAAAGGGTTGTGAGTGTATAAAGAAGCTGGGAACTCTGTCATGAGAGGTGTGGATCTCCTGTTTCAGCCATTCACAGATGCCTGTGTTTTCCAACAGCCTGAGCCAATGACGCTGGCCTTGCACAGCTGAAGGCCTCTTTAGCTGCAGTCACAGCAACTGGCAGCAGTGCAGCGCAGAGATGCAGCTTCCTATCCCAAGACTTAGTGTCTTAATTTCCTTGTTAAGCTCCTGGCTGAAAATAGAGAGGAGAGCAGCATGCAAGGAGACACACATCTTGATTCTTCCATCTCTGACAGCAGAGACACTGGTGAAGATCCATTAGATGTGGTACCTCCTCCCTGCCCGACTCCTTGTGGCAGGCCTGGCCTGGCCACAGACTTTCAAGAAGTGTTGCTGCCCACTAAAATTTCCAAGCCAGACCCTAAAGTCCAGATCTGGGTACTGCCACAGGAGCAGCTAGTGCCTGGCCTGTGAACGTAGCGCAGTTGCTGGAGATAATGGTTGTGTTGGCAAACCCATAGAGAAGCAGGGAAGGAATGTGTCATCCTAACACTTGCCAAAATAGATACTTGTGGTGACACTGCCAGTAACTGCTTGTATGTTTCCCTCCCCCACCCCCCAGAACTCAGCTACAGTGTAAGGCAGGGCTCAGTGTTTTCACAGGAGCATGCCTACCCATCCCTCATCCATCTCCGAGTTGCCCAGTATTTAGGGAGACCCCTTGGGGTAATACTTCATAGCTCTGTCACTTGGAGCAATGATACAAGAGTAAGAACAATCTGTCCACAGGCATCGGCCTCCAATGACTATCTATCTCTTTCCTATTTTCTATTTATTGGTTATTATTTTCTATTTATTTTCATGTACTTCAACCCCAGAGTTAAAGTACTACTCTTAGGGCGCACTGGAGCTAAAAGTGGACTTGTGCTTGCAGACATAGTGTGACGTGGGAGGACTGGCTGTTGTGGGCAGAGGGGCAGGGGGAGAAGTCACAAAATGCCTAGCCCGTATGTTCCACTGTCTCTTTTGTCCCAACACATAAAGCTTGATCTTTTCAAGGTCTTTTAAGGTCTGCAGGAACTTAAATCCCTGTCTGATTCCTCTGTGTGTAATGCCTGCCAACATAGATTAGTGATGGTAAATAATCCCTGCAACTGCACTCTGGGTATCTTCCACTCCTGCCAGCTGTGTGTAGTAGGTTCTTACCCTCATCCCTGCAGGACAGGACATGACCCTTATCCAGCAAGAGCAACAAGAGCAGAATCTCTTTGCAGCAGGAGAAACAGCCTGCAGAAAGCCTCAGCAGTGGGGTGAGGAAGGCAGCATGAGCGCCTGTCCTTGTCAGCCAACCCTTTCCCTTCCCTCCCACCGGCAGGTTGGAGAAGCTACGGCACCAGCTCATGCCCATGTACAACTTTGATCCCACCGAGGAACAGGATGAACTGGAGCAAGAGCTGCTGGAACATGGGCGAGATGCAGCATCTTCTCAGGCATCGCAGAGCAAGGTAGGCAGCAGAGGCCAGCAAGTCTGTTACTACAACCACTGGTACCTTCACGGCTTTTGTTACAGAGTCAAAGAGTTTTTGTAGGGTTGTAGGGTAAGGAAACCGTGTAAGACCTCAGGAGGACTTCCCCTGTCTCTGCCAGTCCTGGAGATAGGACGCTTGAGCAGTTTGGAGTGCTTAGGATGGACTGAAGAGTCGGGCAACTAGAACGAAGAGCCTGGGGAGGTGAAGTGCTGGCTATACTCAACTAGGAGAGAGAAAAGGGCAACTTCAGTAATTAAGGGTGAGTTTACTACGATTTACCACCCAGGGCACCACAAGGGAGCAGTAGGATGAATGCCATTTTCTGGGAGATGGGGCTTCAATACCCACAAAGCACTGAGGCTCCTTTGCCCTGGCCCTGAAAAGCAAATAATTTCCATCCAGTTTTAAGGTATCCCTGCTTTGCCTAAGGATACAAGTGTGGAACAAGACCTTGCTGAGGGAAAGCCTGTAATCATAACAGTTAACTGTGCTGCAAGCCCTGAAGAACGCAGGCAGAAAGCCTGCACATTGTTGTGGCATGGCACATCTGGTCTTGTCAGCACCTCCAGGCCAACCTTGCTGGTCATAGAGCAGGCATGGCTCAGAAAGAGAAAAGGGAGGAGAGTTCTCTATTTGAATTTTGGAAGAGGGGAAGAAGGCTTTGCTCTGACCACTTCTGAGTGTTCAAAGGCATGCAGCCTGCTGAGAAACGATAAGGTCCTCAGACACCACTGACTTACTACATTTGTGAGTTAGGAAAGAACTTGATAGCTTGGCCAGTTGTTTGTGGTTAATGGTCCAGATGGGTCTGACAAGAGGCTATCTCCTTCCCCAGTGTACCAAGAGGTAGGAGAAATAGGGAAGAAGGGCTTCTCGCCATCGTTTGTACCCAGCTTCACAGTGTTTTCTGTTTCCTTTGTCACCACCACCACACACAAAGCCTTTCTGAAAGACAGAGCCAGCAGGGATGGTTGGAACAGGTACGTCTCTTAGCCAGTGATACAGCCTCCCCTTAGAGTAGACATGTCTCCTTTCTTGAATGCCTCTCCAGCTGCTCTGTGTTGCCCCTGTCTTCCCTTGCTTTTCCAGTTCCAGGAGCTGTGCCAAACAATTCTCAGTTTCCACACACTTTACACCTTCAGATAATCTATAGCAAGCTTGGTGTGGGCAGAAGGGTAAAGAGGAGATAATAAATACAACTGTAATTATAAAATGTTTACCTTGAGACATGCTTCCCAACCTGCTAAAGAGCACAAAGGAGATGTGTGTGATGGAACATGAAAGACAGTCAACATATTCCATACACTGGTTTGGGAAAGCAAGAAATACTGTTGTATAAAAGCAAAGGATCTTGTCCTCTGAGTAGTGCATACTGGGAAAACATCAGATCCCTCTATTAGTGCACACAGAGGACCTCCCTTCAGGTAGTAAAGGGGGGAAATGACAAGGCCAGAGTTAAACTTAGCACAGTAAAAGCAGATCCTTCCTATACAGGGACTGGCCAGCAGGATACCTCAGATCCCTCCAGAGCTTGCTAATGCACAGATACCTCTGCTTGGAAAGTATGCAACTTTAAAGGCTTAACATAACAAGAGAGGGAGAGTCTAAAACAACAGCCGAAGTTCAGTCTATGGCATGTTTCCAGGCCTTCTTGATGTTTCTAGTCTTTTTGTGCTGTCTTGTATATATAAATAGCGAGACCCAGTAATCCAATGATGTGAGGATTTTAAACTGGCATGGATGTGCTGACTTGCTCTCTGGCCTGTTGTATTTTTCTGTCACAGCCTTGTTAATGTCAGCCAGGCTCCCCTTAGTAAGGGGTGCAATCTAGTTACAATACTGTGCAGTCTGTGCCCAAGTACACGCACCTGAGCAAAGGCAGACTTGCTGGGTCTCATCTTTCACTGCTTCAATGCAGATTCTGCTGACAAGTCAAGGAGCCCTCCAGAGACCCAGCCGTCTTGTGTTCACAGACGTTGCCAATGCCATCAATGCATGAACAATACCTGCCACTGCTCTGGGATCGTGCTGAGACTGGGGAGGATGAAGCCAACAAACCAGTGACTTCCCGCAAGCATGGCCGATCCACTGAGCCCAGCTGGTCACCCCGTTGGTTTGTGTTACAAATGGGCACAAGCCCTGGGAACTGCCTTCACTCTGGGAAGCAAACCCTGTGTGATGGCAGTGGTGATTTTTTTGGTGCATCTGTTACCACTAAAAGGTCCTGAGCTCCAGTTTCTGGGCTGCTGCTGACTGATACCATCTACCAAGCTGCGTGCTTAGGAACAGTGCCTGCTTTGTTGTAGATTAACTTGTCAGAGCACATGTGTGTGCTCTCTGGGTCAGGGAAGGAGGAGAGGTGCATGTTTCAGAGAGCTTCCCCATTGGCTTTGTGCCACCAGGTCCCAAGGAAAGCGATGACTGAGCCTCTCTGTACAGTGACCCCAGCTTCGGCAGATCCTGGAGGGGTCACTGGTGGCAAAGCCCCTTTGAGCAAGGAAAGCTGACTCCCCTAGCTGAGTGGTAGTCTGGGGCACGCCAGGGAAAACACATACCATGGGCTTATTCCTCTTGTGGCATGTGGGCTGCTGCTAAATGTGTGCCTGGGGTGATGTTGAAGCATGGGGAATTCACTAGCTTTAAAAAGTGAAATGGTGAACATTTGGCTGATTACATCTTAACTGAGTAAGTGGCGGAATCTCCCAAATTCGGGCTGCTGTGTAGACAGAGGGGAATTCACACAGCTAGGGGTAGGGGTTGTCGATGTCTGGCTATGTGACTCTCTGCTGCTGCGCTAGGAATAACGGTGCTTGGGCCACAGAGAGGAGTCAAGCAGAACTGGGGTTCCGATACTGTGTATCCCCCTTCTGCTTTGTCTCAGGGAAGTTTCTACAGTGCAGAGTGTTATCCAGAAAAAAAGATTAAACCTTGAAATATTGTCTTTTAAATAAGGAAAAACATGTATTGGCTCAACATTACAACAGCCCTATGTCTGCCCCCAGAGGTGACTGAACAGCTGGTTTGTACTTCCTTACCTGCCAGGACCTGCAGTCAGAGACTTCTCTTCTTCCTACTGAAGGAAACACGGAGCTTTCTGTTAGCCTCTGCTCACGTCACCTGCTAATGCAGAAGGTGGGACTAGACAGGTAAGCCAGGAGTTTCCCTGTAACCCTGAAGCATCTCTCTGCCTGTGCATCCTTTAGGGCTGCAGGAGGGAGAGAGTCAAGGGGTCTCTGGCCACCTTGGCATGCTGCAGTGCAGCATGGGGGCTGTCCTCTGCAGAGCCTTTTGGTGGCCTCCAGCACAGCGGCCAGGGGCCAGCAGCAGAGCCTGCATGCAAGCATCAGTGCCCAGCCATGCACTGATCACCTCCTGACGTTTTTGCAGTACATGCATTTGTCAGTCAGATCATACTCCATCCACAGCACCAGTCAAAAGGGAATCAGGGCAAGCCAAAACGTGAATGCAGATCTAAGGTAGGCTTTATGCACGGAGATGTTTCACTGAGTGGCAATTCAAGTATCATGTGATTTGTTGCAAGTTTCGACCTGCCAGTTAGTTTTTGTTCTCCCAAATCTTTTTCTTCCCCACTGCATTTTTTTTTCCCCATATTCATTAAATGCAGACTCTTTCCTGGGCATGTGCCACTGACCCCTGCAGTGCACAGTTCCTTACCAGCCCTCCTTCACTGACACAGCTTCCCTCATGACAGTTTTGCAGAGCTAAGGTGCTTTAATTTTTCAGTATCCCTCTTTCTTTTTAAAGCCATGGAGTTCTGGGAGTGTATTAGGGCTAGGAGAAGAAAACAGCCCATCCTCCATACTTAGGAGATCTGGCAGGAGGCACTCCCAGGCTGCTGGTGTTTGCACTCCAGGGATACTGTTGGAAGGAAAGTGTGTGGGTACAAATACTGAATGTAATCGGGCTTAGGTCCTTAGAATTTGGACACCAGCTGTGGGTCTTCGCAGAGGTTATGCCTACGTGACCAGCTGAGAAGCAAATACATCACCCCCCACACACATGCACACTTACCATCTCCTCCAGGTGCTCACTGAGAGCAGCCAGTCACAGACATCAGATTTCTCCCTTCAGCAGCTGGCATGTTGCTGCCTGTCACACTCCCACACTCTGCAGCAGGACAGGAATGCAAGCAGCAGCAGGGGTGCATGGCTGTCCTAAATTGCAAGGTTTCCCCTAGAACTCTTAGGATTAGAACTTGTTATTTTACATTCAACAAAAGGCAAGTGTAAGCTGAGCTGTTTCCTTAAAGCAACAGCCTACTTTGTGCTCTTTACCCAACTCCATGTGCTGCACAGGCAGCTGCTGAGCAGTGCATCTGCCAGCTCAGGTGCAAAAATATGCACCTTGTTCCACGTTAATGCTGAGATGTATCTTGTATAACACACACACCTACAGAGGAATTCTCTTTAGCCATTCTTCCTGTAATGGTAGGCTTTGCCCTGTGGTGACTGCCCTTAGATTAAAGAAGTACAGATAAGAAGACTAAAAGAATATTACGGGTATTTGCTGGGCTTGTACTGGAGTATTCTTTTAGTTCAATAGCACCTCTTCTCACAGTTCTTGGAAGTATATGTACAATTTAGCAGAAGCATTATGATGTAATTTATTTCAAGTGTTTCTGTGTTTTAAGCATTGGAATATAATTAAACTATTTACATGAAATCTAGTGTGATTGTCTTTCTGCCTCCCCCCATCATTTGCATTTTCCACAGAAAACTGCTGGAGTGTATCCTCACTTCCTGTTGGTAATTTGTATGCAGTGAACTCCCCTACTCTTTCAAAGACTGAAGTAGGTGTGAAAAACTTGGAAGGACAAGCTCTGTGGGGGTCAAGGTTTAGTGCTCCACAGCAGGGAAACTCAGACCTCTTCAGGAAGACTTGGTGCTTGGTGGAGAAGTCAGGAAGGCAGGGGCTTCTAGCGTAGCAGATCTTGGGCATCCAGAGTGCAGAAAGACAAATTTCAACTTGTGTGTTTGCCATATTATCCTTTAACCAGCTGAATTCCTGGACAAACTAGGGGTTCATCAGCTCACCTGCAGCTCCACAATAGCCTGCCCACACTGGGGTGAACATTGTGGGCAGTAGCATCTGTAGCTTCATGGTGCTATTGTTGGTGTATTTCAGATTTGTTTTCTGCCTCATCTTCTGGCCCACAGACCCAAAACCTGGGACTAGTTAGGAAAGCTGTCAGGTTAACTGAAGAGGCTACGCACAGGAACAAGATTAATTGTGTGAAGAGCTAAATAGTTGTATGGCACACAGAACAATGTGGGGCATAAACAGACTCAGCTGTGGATACTTCTGGATGTACACATGAAGCAGAATTGGCTTGTGTTCCAATCAAGCCAGTTATGAGGTACTATAAAATATACAAGAGGATGGAATTAGGTACCAACATTTGGGTTTAAGGGCCTGTCTGTTTTCCTCCATGTGTGATTCCTCATGGTCATTATTCCTTGTTTTCACATAGATCTGTGGGTGCTCCTGAATGACCAGATCTTGTTTTATAATCCCCAGAGCTCCAATTCAGCTAAAGAGAAACTCACCTTGTCTGGTGATTATGCATGTGTGCTGAAGTTGTTGCACATGGAGGAGGCAAAGCAGAAGCCCAAGGTGCTACATTTTATACCTTTATTAAAAACAAACTCCAAGGCTAATTTGCAAGTTGCCAAAACTCTTTATGCCTTCACCAAAACCATTTCTGAGAATCTTCCAAACTTTGCTAGATAAAAAAAACCCCGTCCTTCATCTCCTGAGTTTTGATTCGACTGTAATGACGTCTTATTTTTGGCTGAGTCAGACCAAAACTGAGCTTAAAAGCACTTGCAATGCATTTGCTTAGAGGTAGGATTTGGCTACACTGAAAAGTTAACTATCTATATGGAAAATAAAAAGTATTTGTCATTTCAAAAAAGAAAATCCAAGTAATCCAGCGTGATCCTAGCTCTCTGAAGATGGCTGGAATTCTGCCCACCTTTAATAGCCATTGACTTTCATTCCAAGTCTCTGCATAAACATGGAAGCTGAAGCTATGGATTGGCATTTCAACTACACACAAAGTAGCTCCTAATAGTGTGGAATTCTGCTTGTTCTCATTGAGCACTTACATTTTTATGGAGACATGTTTTCTACTGTGGCTTCCAATAGAGTATTAAGAGAGCAAAGAATAGATTTTTTTTTTTTTAAGAGAAGTACTTTATATGCATGTCCCAGAGCAATACTGCTGACCTAGAGCAAATGGATTTACTATCTAGCTGAGGCAGTTTCCATCCCTACTCCATGCCACCAGCTGAGAAAGGTCTGACTGATGTCATAAGAAAAGCTTGAGTCTCTTACAGATGCAATCCCTAATCCATTTAGGAGAAGTTGAAGTTCCAGTCTCACATTGTACCAGCTATTACTCTCAGGTAATAGGGGTTAATTAAATAGGCAGGACAGCCTTGCAAGCAGAGTACTAAACCTGCCAATTCACCTGAAAATCAGGTAAAGAAGTTGGTAAAATATCTTGGTCTGCCACTGGGGTGGGTTTTGAATGCAGACATGAACTGCAGCTGAACTTGTGTGTCCACTGAAGAAAAGCAGCTCCCTAACCTGAATTCAGAGGAACACCAGTTAGATCTTCTCTTGTAATCATCGACAGTTACAGAATTGCGTGCATGATGTCCCACCTGGATTTATCCACACAGCAGGAGAAGGGGGTCAAACTCTTCCCCTACCTGGCAGCATGCTCATCCTACAGCATAAGATTTAGGTCAGTCCCTGTGATCTAATCCATGTAATCCTTGATTTCTCTGCTATGTGGTAGAGGAGGCACAAAGGTTATCTCTGATGCAGTTTTCTGCTGAGACCACCAAACTCCATACACAAGAAACTACTGTTAGGGCAGACCAGACAACAGGATGAACAGGGTCAGGACTCTGATCACTACTAAACAGAATTAACAGGTTGAGGACTCCGATCACTACTAAACTGGGCGGA